CTGCACAGCCTGAGGGGGGGTAGTGGTGAAGCAAAGGGTCATACTGAGTGCGTTTGAACATGTGCTGGTGGCTTAGCACCTCACAGGGTTGGGATGGCCCAGCTGCTCAAGAAGCGTGTGTGAGGTTTCCCATGCATGCTCCCCCTGACAGCAAGCTGCAGCATCACCCAGTGAGGCAAGCAGACCAGTTTCTAACCCTTTTCTGCCTCTCCCATCTTTTTCCCCTCTCCCCTCCAGCTCATCATTGGAAACTTTGGCCTTAGCTACGAGCAGTCACGCTCCCAAATGGCCTTGTGGACGGTGATGGCAGCCCCGCTCCTCATGTCCACAGACCTCCGCACCATCTCCCCGAGCGCCAAGGAGATCCTGCAGAACCGCCTGATGATCCAGATCAACCAGGACCCCCTGGGAATCCAGGGGCGGAGGATTGTCAAGGTTAGGGGGAAGGCGGATGCGTTTGGGAGAGCAGGCAGGAGCAGCAAAAGGTGTCACAATAAGGAGGGAAAGGGAAGCGATGCAGAGATACGTGAGCAGGAGAGCTGTGGGAGCTGGGGGCCTACTGGCATAGCAGACCTGCAGGGTGAGGTCAAGAAGTTATGGGCCAGTGCTGGTCCCGGCAGCTCTGCCTCACCCACCTGTCCCCACCCCCAGGAGAAATCCCACATCGAGGTGTTCCTGCGCCCGCTGTCCCAGGCTGCCAGTGCCCTTGTCTTCTTCAGCCGGAGGACAGATATGCCCTTCCTCTACACCACCAGCCTGGCCAAGCTCCACTTCCCTGAGGACACCATGTATGAGGTGAGCTCCACTGGTGCGCTGCATGGTGGGGCAGCCCCACAGCACCTGGATCTCCTTCTTTCCAGCTCCCCCCATTGAAACCCTGTGCGTTTTGGGGAGGGAAGGACTCCCACTCCCTGCGGCCAGGATGAAGGGGCAGCTGCCCATTGGTTCACCCTCCTGCTGCCCGCTGCTGTGCCCCCTTCCCCCATGCGCGTGGCCAACTTGGGCTGGGGCTGTCAGTGGCTGTATTTGGGCCTCAAGGTGGAAGGTCCTAGTAGCCATCATCTCTCTCTTTCCAGGTACAAGACGTGTACAGCGGGAAGATCATCAGTGGCTTAAAGACAGAAGACATCTTCTCGGTCGTTATTGACCCCTCGGGGGTGGTGATGTGGTATCTCTATCCCGTGGTGCTCCCAGCACAGCCCTGGCACGTTGTCAGACAGCAAGCCACCGGTGGGGATTTTCCCCCAGTCCTCCTGTGACGAGGCTGTGGTGAGGGTGTGGGTCAGTGCTGGGGTGAGCTGCGAGAGCTTGGGACATGCAGCTCTTCACAAGTGTCTTTTGCCAGCATGCCCAGCAGCGCTGGGGTGTGATCGTCAGGTCATTCCTCTGGTACCAGCTTGATGATGTCTACTCAGCCTGCGTAAAGCAGGAATTCCTGTTACCCACCTCCTAAGGGTGTGCAAAGCGTGATTCCTTGGTGATTGCAAAGCCCTTTGAGATCCTCCTGTGGAAGATGCCATACAAGCAGAGTCCAGCCACTGTTGGAATTTGTCAACTCTGACACCTGAGCACTTTACTGCTTTGAACCGAGTACCACTGACCGCTGCAGGGGCTGTTTGAACTATGCCTGGAGAAAGGCCTTGGATCCTTTAGAATCTTCTGGGGTGGTGACACCCTCTTCCACCCTGCCACGTGTGTGATGGCATTAGCCTCGAGCATGAGACCCGGACACCTTCTTTCCTCTGCTACAATCAACTTGGCTTAGAATAAGCGGCTGTCAATAGGGCTGCACCCTTCCCATGTACCCTCCCCAGGACCAAGAGCTCCTGGAGGTGTGATGGTCCTGTCCAGAGAGGTGTTGCTTGCAGGCCTGATCCTGCTGCCAGGGGCCTGGAGGCCAGCACTACTCCAGCCTAGCATGCACCTGGCATTGTATTAAAGCCCATCTGGTATCAGTTTACAGCAGAGTAGAGCAAAAACCTCCTTTGGCTATGCCCAGTCCCAGCAGCCTTCCTGTGGTACAGCACCAAAAACTGCAGAGCCGTAGTGTGTTGTGTGTGACTGGTGTCAGAAAAATGCTGATGCTGATCAGTTGAGATAATCTTTTGAGTTGGGAGGGGGTCACAGGTGCCTCCAAGCTGTGTCCTGTTCTTGCTCTAGCAGGAAATTCCTGCTAAAAGGGGGCTCAGGCCCTCCTCCAGCCAGCTGAACACTCAGAGCTTCTCAGGGAAAGGCTTCTCCCCCCAAGGGCAGCTACATCCACAGCACCATCCTGAGGAGAAGCCTGCACTAATAAACTAGAAGTGAGCAGCAGGACAGACTCTAGAGCCCTCAACTGATTCACTTTCGTACAGCGTACAGCCTACGGAGGAGTTTTAGGCAAGACGTGTCCCACTCCCACTGTCCTGGAGAGGGGTGCAGCGTTCATGAAGATTGCCCCTGAACACTGTAGCCCAGGGAGACTGACAAAATTAAGCCTCAGACCAGGGAAATAGGACATTTTAGTAGCCAAAGGGAAGAAAAGTTCCCCTTTTCTATTCAGATGATGAAGCAGAGTTGGGCACCCACACCGGTTCCTCCAGGATCAAATGGCTGATTCTACTTCCAGAAACTTGAGCGCAGCGGCGAGATACTGAACACGATGCTTGCAGGAAAGGATGAGCACACTTCATCTCTGTGTACAGGAGCTGGCTTTGTTCTTGGGGAGTGATTGAGACAAATTAATTGAAATAAAGGGGAAGCAGGTCACAGGTTCTCCATTTGTTTATTCAGCATTGCTAGCTGTAGCTACTTGGTTAATGTAGGATTACAGGGTCATTACCTCAAAACAGGAAGAACTATGCTAAGAAATAGAACTGGTTTCCTGTCAGAGACTGGACTGATACAGGGTAGGAAACAGCTTTCCAGTAGTTACATC